CCTACCCAGTACTCCTCTGGATCCACCACCCTTCCTCCAGACCTTCCAGCCCCCCACCTTGTGGACTCACTAGCCCCCATACTCCCCAGTCTCATCAGCCTCTCCATCCATCCTGAGTTACTTACCTTGGGCTGCCTGTACCAGTCAAAAACATTTTAAAAAGCTGTGCATACTGCTCCCTGTTTAGGTTTAGGCAGCTTAAAGTAAACTGCCTAAACCTAGACTGGGTGTGGCAAATTCATAGAGTCACAGATTATAGAGTTGGAAGGGACCCAATGGATCATCGTGTCCGACCCCCTGCCCCTGGCAGGAAAGGGAACCGAGGTCAGACGACCCCAGCCAGGTGATTGTCAAGCCTCCTCTTGAAGACCTGTTTTCTCCTTGGGTGTGTATGAATACAGGCTAGAAGGATGAGTGATGACTTCTTTGGCTATTCAGAATTATCTGAAAAGGAATGTTATCCTGTTAATTACTTACAATCTACTTGCAGTTCATTAGAAACCTATACATGATGTTTTCACATGATTTTGCTATTTGTAGTACATATTTTCAGATTTCCTCAAGTAAAATTAGTATACATGTAATGACTTTTATTTACACTTGAGCTGCACTTTAATTATTATTACAATGTCATAAATTTAGAAAAGACTGATTAAAAAGGGTTCTAAACCTATGTGACAATGAAGCACTAATAACTTCCTCAGACATAATTATAAAATGTTCAACATCTGGTTTTCAGTTTATGGCCTGAAGCAAAGCTTAAAGACATTAATACTTTTTTAAGTATAATAATATCCACTTTTGAAGAGCCTATAACTATTATTAACCACGTGTAACAATTTAATAGCTTTATAATGTAGTTACATTTTATTAAACTATAAAAACCATGTTAAAGTAATGTTAAGGGTATGTCTTAAACTCACAAAGGTATTGAAACTCAGAGTTAAAATTTAAATTTTACTTCTCACTACACCCTATGCGCCTGCCTATGTATTTTAATATGTATACAAAATAAGTTAAAATTGAAAGTGATATTGGACTATTAGGGCAGATCCATATCATTCTCATGGGTCCTAAATGGGATCTAAACAGAACTTAGGTGAATAAGTGATAAAAATCTCTTTAGACTGATGTTACTTCCTCAGCTGCAAAACAGCTTGCATGCCTGGAAACCTTAGGCTAGAGATTCTCAACCTTTTTAGACTTGAAGCACCCCTCATTAGACTCAAGGTACCTATTAAAAAATGCCAGCTTTTAGCTTGCAGTTTTTGCAGGGGGATTGGTTTTTGTTTTGTTTTGTTTTGTTTTGTTTTTACTACCGAAAAATGATACAGAAATTCTTCTGTTCCAAAGAACTTGGAATGTTTTTAACTTCATAGATTCCTATTTAATATCTATGGGTTTATCTTTTGAATTACATGTAGGTATTTGTACACCTACTAGTGCATGGCACATCTAACACTGCATGACACCCTGTCGCACCTTTAAAAGGATCTCAAGACATCCCAGTTGAGAATCATTGCTTTAGGAACTTTCATTTCAGCTTGAAAAGTTGCCTACATGTCTGGACCAAGATTTCTAAACATGCTTGGAAGTTAAACAGCATAAGGTCCTAGGATCCTAACTCCCACCATACCTCTACTGCAATCCAAATGAAATCTGGGAGTTGTCTCAATTCTGCTGAAAACCCAAACCTTTAGGTTTTCATATACGACGTTTAACATATGACTAAAATGAGAACAGTATAAACACAGCAAGTCACAGGGTGTGTCTACATGAGATGCTGACTGTGCTGTAGCTGAAAAATACTGTGCAGTAGCACGTCACAGGACAAACAGTGCTAATACACTGCTGTACCGTATTATTAAGCTACTGCACAGTAGCATCACCTAAAAGATGGTTGCCGGTGCTACTGAGCAGTAATTCCAGTTACTGTGCATTTATTTAGTACTTACTAATACCAGTACTAAATAAATGTGCAGTAACAACTGCACAGTAGTGTCTCATGTAGGCATGCCCACAGTCACTCCCAAAAAAACCTCAGTAGTTCACATATATACACATGCCTACAGTAGTGCACATGTGTCCTCATGTCAAAAAGCAGGACTTTGTCCAAAGCTGAGAACCAGCGTGGGGGTAGGCTGGGGTTCTTATTGAGGTTGATTAAGATTCCTTGGGTACCAGGGATCCCCGTGCCCAGGATAACTTCCCTCAAAGTGGGGTTGGGGGGCGGGGGGGTAACGCAATCAGCCTACTCCAACTCCCCCTCCCCCTCCCCCCATGATCACCACACAGTGGCCAGCACGAGCTAACCCTCTCCTCCCCCCCCCCCCCCCCCCCCGCCCCCCGCCCCCACAGCAGGGTCAGGGTGTGGGTTGAAGTGAAGAAAGAAACAGCCCAGGATCAATTTTCTTATCACTTAATCTATCTGCATGTCAGTCTTTTAACTGCTGCATTGGCAGATCATCATTGCCTGCAGTCATATCCCTCCAGCCTACAACCAGATCCCTCCAGTTCTTGTTCCCCCTCCTGTCCTCTACCCTGCCAAGTTGTCCCTCTTCTCTGGTACTCCAGTTCCTTCTAAATCTATTTTTTGTCTGGGGAAGCATGTCCCTGTCCCTCTTTGACACCCTCTCCTTGCCATTGCTCTGCCTGACAGTTATACTGCTGCATCTTTCTGGGAGTGCATGGGACTGCGGGTCAGGAGTGAGGGGCACCAGCTGGGCTGAAGGGGCAGGGGCTGCAGGTAGGGAGTGAGGTGCGTTGGTAGGGTTTGGGGGCAGGACGTTGGAAGGGCAGGGGCTTGTGGGTCAGAAGTGAGGGGCACCAGCTGGGCTGGGGGGCGGCAGGTTAGGTAGGAATGAGAGGCACTGGCAGGGCTGGGGGGGCAGGGGGCTTCAGGTTGGGAGTGAGGGACACAGGCAGGGTCGGGGGGACAGTGGCTTGGCTGTAAAACATGCTCATGTTCTTTGTGTGATTTGTTGTATATTGTGCCTCCTGTAGAACTGGAGAGGACCATTTCCCATCCCCCCCAGGCCATTAAGATTCCTCAACAGAACCTGTAAAATGAGTTGAGTGACTCTGGCCAGATCCTGGAGTGGTGACCCCCTTTGAATTGCTTTGTCTGTATTAACAGTGTTCCAGTGAAGCTGCTTTTTGGCTGGGACCCTGGAGGAGGGCATTGGGAGGGCTTGGGGGCAGGGGTTGCTCTCATCAGTCTGTACCTTGAGGCAGACTACCAAACCTGGCTTTCCAGGAGTTTGAACAGACACCAGCCCTGTTCAATAAACCATTCTGTAATGTGACTGCTCTGAGGCCAGCAATATTATTGTTTTCTTGTCACTTACCCCGTTAGGAATAGAGGAAGCCATGCCCTAGCAAGCAGTCCACAGAGACAAATCCCTATTCCTGCATTACCTTCCAGTATGCCAAAGGCCTAGTCCATGATTAAGTACCCAGAACTACCCTACCCATACCACATGCACCCAATGCTACATGTTAGGGTTCTCTCCCAGAGCTAGTAAAATGCTGCTTAGCTATGACTTGCACTTGGCAAGACATGCACTTTATTTTCTCTGTTCATCAGTCAGCCACCCCCTACATTTCTGAGGTCCCAGGAACATTTCACTTGCAAAACTCCCTGCCAGTCCCCCTGGGGCTGGGGTTGGGCTGTGGGGGAACCCCTGCTCACAGCGAGTGGCCTGCTCTCACCATCCATGTTTTTGGGGCATTCCAGGCCACATGCTAGGGTTTGCTCCCTGAATTTTAAACTGTCTGACTCTACTGAAGGTCAAGGATCATCTGCACCCCACTATCCCCATGCCCCACTGCCGCTGGAAATGTGGGGCAGGGACCCCTGGCTAGCAGTGACTGACCTTCTCACCATCCACTGTTTTGGGGCAGCCAACACCAAAGCTACATGAAGTTTGTTCCTATAATTCCCAGGTCCTTATTCCTGGTTCCTAGTTGCTTTTTCAAAGCTAACTTATACCAATAAATAGATTCATAGATTCATAGATGTTAGGGTCGGAAGGGACCTCAATAGATCATTGAGTCCGACCCCCTGCATAAGCAGGAAAGAGGGCTGGGTCTAGATGACCCCAGCTAGATACTCATCTAACCTCCACTTGAACACCCCCAGGGTAGGGGAGAGCACCACCTCCCTTGGGAGCCCATTC